CATTTTTTAAATATCTCTATCAATAACTGACCAGGCCAATTCACTTTCTTGATTAAACTGCCCGCAGCTGTAAACACAACAGCAAGGTTATAGTTTTGTAATTTCCTGACTCGTGTTGAAGCATACTGCTAAGGCTTGTGAACCAGGACGAAGAGCGTAAAAATGTTTTCGTCGCTGTTCTCCAAAAGTTCAACTTAGCTTGAAATTGTTCTTGAATGATACGCCTTTCTGAGATTCGAAGATAGCAGGACTAACTTTATCCGTACCACCATTCAGTAAATTCAATGATTGTTTTCAAATAAGTCCACTGTAAAATACAGGCGAAGTACTTTGCTCGCCGCAAAAGGTGACACTATTATTTGTAAGAGATCTCCTACCATCAACTGACTGTGACTGTTTGATATCTTTTTATGGCATGGATGCGCTTTCCTTACAACTTAAACTTGACATAATTAAAAATCCAAAAGCGTCGGATTTTTCACTCAACAGAAAGCAAAATTCTAAGTTCAATTCTCCCGGGTTAAAAGTCCCAACTATATCATGAAAAAAATTATATTGATATCGGAAAATAAAGAAATGCTTAAGACAATGAGTTTTTGCAGTATTCTGTTCCCTCTGGATCTTAAACAAATATTTTTTTACTTACTACTTTGGTTGTCGAAGTCCACAAGACAAGAGGTTTCTGATCAAATAATTATGGTTAGAGATTTATAATAGTCATAAGACGGCTCTATGCCAAAACCCCTGCGGTCAAAAACAAAGTTAAGTTGTTAAAGTTAACTTTGCATATCCAAGGACTAACCAATTTAGGCTTATTAAAGAAGCTTCTTGTCGTGAATGTTTTTTAACTGGATCGTCGTAAAAACAAGTGTATACAAACATACGTGCCTTTTTTTTCCGCTTCGGTTTCGCGTTACGCGCGCTCTGTAAGCTTTGTTTGCTTTATCAAGGTCGAGAGACGTTGAATCTTTTAAGAAATAAAACAAAAATGCAAAAATTTTTGGTGCCTGAGCCATATACCTACAAACTTGGAATTATAGCAGCTAAGTCTATTGAAAAATTGTTGATCATGAAAGAGATGATTACATGGCTATGTGTACAGGTTAAATTTTTTAATAGGCTATAAACAGTCATTCGTTTTTGGTAAGACATTATTCAAATAGACGATCTCTTTTCACTCAAAAGTAAAAATAACTGATTTAAACAGCACAGTTGAAACATGTAGTCAGCTGGACTTCAGAATTCCATATCGATATCGATTTGATACCGGAATCAAAATATGTATTGCTATGAAGATGTTTTGAACACAGTAATGGTATGTGTACCACGTGACCCATGCAAGATACAAATCACTCACCTTTCATAACGAACACTTATAACTACAGACCAAGGAGTACATAGGTGACTAAGTGCCTACTATCTGGCAATTGACGAATGGCCGTGAATCAAAAAGCTGAAAGACTTAACGAGGAACTTGAGTCTACATGTCTTTTTACAGAAAACGTTTTCCCGCTATGAGCCATGAATTTTTCGAAGATCGGGAACTTTGTTTATCTTACGCTTATCTTGCGCTTACCTATTCCAAAGTCCCCTTGAGATAAGTTTATTACATAGAAAAGCTTCTCGTGCAGTCCACTGTTCTCAGAAAGGAAAGAAGAAAGAAAGGAAAGAGGCCAGGCCAGACCAGTAGACCAGAGGAATGTAGACAGTGTGCATAGGAGTAGAGTCAGAATTCCGCAGTTGAAGAAGTAGTCAGGGAATATGAAAGTGTGAGAGCCTAAGGGATTAACCAGAGTTACACAGAATAAAAATAAGCTTGGATATAAGTAGAATTGTGTACTAGAGAACCGAATAATTAGCGGAAAAGACGGAAAGGACAACAGGCCATTTTTAGCGAATAAATCCAAATGAGATGACAGCAGAAAAATTTTGTAAATGTGAAATTTCGTTCTACGCATCAGTGTGTCAGTATTTTGAGTTTGTATTTTCTATTTGAGGACACTTCGTTTTTCAGCAGTTTAGAATTTTCCATTTAGCTTCACCATAAGCCAGCTAAAGGAAACAGATATGAAATGGAAAAAACAATATCGGACAAAGGTTTTTTTCGTCACGCAATTTACTCATAACTAAAAATATACAACCTTGCAACAGCTAAAAATTAGTCAAAAAAGTAATCAGAAAGATACCGTCAGAAAGTTGGATAGTTGACACTCAGAGGATGGCATTTATCCAGCCTCAAAATTATTATCTTTAATCATACAAAATAGGTGGGCCCCAAAAATTCAAAAATGATTCATTTCAGTATTTTTGTGTGAAAAGGTCGCCTCCAAAGTTTTCTAATTCTAACCAGTTTGTTTTGTTTTGTGTGGCTGTGGAAAGGCAAACTACGTGGAAAACGATATTGTATTCTCATTCGACTAAGATGTGTACTAAGTCGTACTTAAACTTCATAAGCAATATTTGCTCTGTTTATATAGATAGCAGGTTCTGACGGTAGTAGTCCATGTTGGATTGCAGCGAGCTAAAGACGATTTTGACGAAAAAAGGTCTAACAAAACCATAATGTTGTTTGGCAAAAATTTTTCCTCCGGAAAACATCAGGCCCCGGTTGTTCAAAGGGTGGACAGCGCCATCCATTGGATAAATCTCTATACGGTGGATAGCTCAGTACATTTTGTTAACTCTTATCCGTTGGATAGCGTTCAGTATCCACCCTTTAACCAACTGGGCCAGAATGATGCTGAAAGAAGCTTGCTAACATTTGACCTCTTTATTATGCTTTCTTTATATCAGTTTTCTCCTCCCAGCAATAACCTACTTCTCCCTCCTCCTAAAGAAATGTTTTTTTGTCTGTTCACTGTTTATTCAATCTGATCCACTGCCATGCACGTGTTCAGATCTCATACGGTTTCTGCACTCAGCGACTTGGCGAAGAAAACTTTCTTGTCAGAGATAGTAAAATAATTTAACTGTCGGGTCTAGAATTCAGGAAAACTTGAAAAAATAAAACTGTTATGCCCAGTAGACAATAGATTTCAGCTATCAAATCAGAAGTCAGAGATCAGTAATTCAAGAGAACATCAGTTGATGTTCTTTTACTTATGTTTATTCGAAAACTCAGCTTCAGTGACACATTTAGGTTGCTTCTCTGTCTTTGTTCATTTGGAGTTGAAAAGAAATTCTTTCATTCGTTGTCGTGGAACTATACCCGTTCAAGACCACAACAGTCAAGTTCTACAATCGTTTTCAAGCCAAAAGGCTCAGAGAATATATTTATTTTCAGACGTTAAATACTTATAAGGTTTAGGTATTGGAGACGCCCCGCCTGAAGTACTTTACATGTGATCTCAGAAATACCGTTTCCTGTTATGATCATTAAGCAGTTTGAAATCTATCCTATTTGTTTTTGGTTTTTTGAGGAGCGCATCAAAAACAGAGTTGAGCATCGACTAAGGGACCAATATTGAGGGCCAATATTGCCAAGTGCGGCTCCAGCAAGCGTTTCTAATATGATGATATGGCACTCGGATCCAATTTGTATATTTTGAACAAGCGGCTTTGGAAAACTTTTAAAATACGCGTGAAATTGATCCCTAATTGCCCTTGGGCCCATACGATTATAATACGAATACATATACAAATGACACTATTCTAAACCTCTTGACTTGGTCGTTGAGACCAAGATAATCGATCAGATTTGATTCTATTAACTGTGGAAATGGTGTGGTGACATCCGACTTCAATTGTCGCACTAAATCTATCCCTCAGTCCTTCTCTTTACTAACTTGATATGAAGCAATTATACCCTTCAGGACAGCCATTACTCATACACTGAATGAAGAAACTGAAGGTCCTGAAAATAGCCAGCTGTCTGTCAAATCATTTCACGTGCGAGAAGCCTACACTTTCGTTATCTATACTACAATAGATTGTGTAACTTCGTTACTGCGTTAGCAGGTAAGACACCAAAAAGCCTGAAAAATGTTTACGCCTAATAGCTAAATGTTTTTCCTTTTTGCGACAGATGGTTAACCCCTTTGAGACCCTCTACTTAAGCTTTCAATCAGTTTCAAAACTTAAACCATAAAAGTGTGATAAACAATTGTGAATTCAGTACAAAATCCTGTCTGTCTGCTTGGTGCATTACGTCTGACCAAACAGTGGATGATGGCAAATGGGGCAGCTGCGACTGAAAGAAAAATGAGTAGAATAAGATTAATCCTAAATACATTTTAAGGGAATAGTGAAGCAGGCGTGGAGAATTTTAAACCAAACTATGACTCATACGTTTTTTTTTTATCTTTAGAACCAAGTAAAGCATTGTAGTTTCTGTTTCATTGTAGTAATCTTGGACAAGAAATCTAACAAAACGGCTGGGCATCAAAAAGGGCAATTAACAATCATCTTATTCCGGTAGCAAAACTTATTACTATAGATGTGTGGACTTTTTGGGTGTACTTACACGCCATTCTGAATCATCGCAATAGCGCACTCTCTGTGAACCTTGTGTGAGCATGGCAGGATCTGATAACCACTGAGCCCGTTCTGCAGTTAAGGGGAAAAGCGATTTCATTTATCATTCAGTGAACTCACACGTAATCATTATGTTGATGGACTCATAAAAAAAAAAGAAACTGTTGTTCGTAACAGCATTTGGCGTGCAGACAAACGGAGCGGACGTCTCTATCAGAAGCGACCGAACGATTAGTTCTTTGATTGACTGATCGATTGGATGATCTTCAAAAGGGAAGAAAAGGAAAATTTGAGTTTATCAATGACTGTTGACATTTAAACTGTATCATTTCAAAAAGAAGTCCCTCTTAGAAAGGAAATATGATGATATGATGGCCCGTTACCCAGACAAGGAACTGTTTCATCGATTCACCATTACTTGAAGAACTTTAAGTGTGTTAGTAATAATTTTATGGCCCGGCCAATTAATTCGATCGCGACACTTATATCTAAACCATACCCACAACGTTTTACGAAGTTATTTTGCTTTACTCAGTGATCAGCCATCTAGCCTCCAAGACGCCAATGAAGTGACTCTCAAATGCTTTTATCAATCGTGCTTTGCAGCAGTTGCTAAAATCAGGGCCTTTAATCTCAGTCATTACCTCCAAACAGATGCAACATTCATCTTGTCCTGACTGTGGAATGTATTTGGGTTTTCCTTGAAGCCGTCTGTTCAGAGAAACATCACATTTGGAGATGTCGTGATGCATAGGGTGATCCATCACAATTCTAAATTGAAGAAGGAGATATAGTTAGCCTTCTCGCGTATAAGAAATTCCTTTATTTCCTAACAGGTTGATTAATGAACAAACTGATTACTTAACGTTTAGCATAAGCCAGACCGAGAAGACTTATACAGCCAAATCGAGCCAAAGGCGACAAAAGGGCGCACATTTTAGGTTTTTATTGAAGCCGTTTATTCAAACAAAAATGCATCGATCTCCTTTGTAAACGTTGTGATTCAGAGGGTGATCCATTACAATTCGAAACGAAGAGAGAGCTGTAGTTAGCCTTATCGCGAAGAAAAAATCTTTCATTTCCTAACGGGTTGATTAATGAACAAACCGATTGATTAACATTTAGCATGAGTCAGACAGGGAAGACCTATTCATCCAAAGGAGAAAAAGAGCACGCATATTACAGGTTTCAGTCTGCTTGTACTTACTTCTGTCTTCCAGGATCCTCCCCTCTTAGATTCTAAAATGAAAAAAATACATGCTAGTTAACACCGAAAAAATTTTGATAAGCGATTCTAACATTGAATAGCATGTCTCTTTTATATGGAACGCTCCTAGTTAGCCACTCGTGCTGAAAATATAATAAGGCAACTATCAAGAGGTTTTAGATTAATTTTTGAGCGAAAGATTTTCCATTACGCCCATCGTGGTAGTCAGGGACCTGTCATTTCAAATCGCCGAGGTGATGGAGGAGGAAGGGGCGGGGAATTTTAGGTTTGTAGAAATAAAATGTAGTTGATTCCCCTCCATCCCCAAGTCTTTCTAGTATTCTAATGATTTATCCCCACCCCTGATTGGCAGTCAATATCCTTGAGTCCCACCCTTATCCTTTGTTAGCGACGACTGATTCTGAAATCAACGTGATCGTCCCCCCAGGTGATAAATAATTACAGGGCCCTCAGTTAACTTACCTCCTCAAATGCCTCGCTAAAGTTACACAGAAGTGTATGAAATAGCTGCTGAGGCCACATGCTAACTTCCGGAGGCTGTCTTGCCTCCTTTCCTCTCTTCTTCCGTGCTCTTTCTGTTCGTATTTCATGCTCTTTTCTTTTAATTTCCCGACCAAACTCTTCACTTTCTCTCTCCCTCGACACCCTTTCCACCGAGGCGCACGCTCCTTCCACGAGTTGTTCCAACTCAAGCAGAGAGCTGCTACATCTTCTGTTCGTCAATAGGCCACGAGATTGACCAGGACGTCGATCAAAATTTTCTGCTGCATTGGTAACAACACTGTTTCTTTCTCTGTTAGCGCCAGAAGATAGAAAAGGACTTCTTCAGTACAATACACTGCTACCAGAGTTCCTCTGTTAAAATATACCCATAACGTTCCTACTTAACCTGACTGGTGCGAAGAGACTATTCCTGTCCTTTCCAGAATCGCAAAATCAAACATCTTGAAAATTTTGAAAATGACATCCTAAAAACTAGGTTTAAGCAGCAACAGTATCAACTGTGGCACCAAATTTGCTGAATAATGAGCACTATTACTAACGAGCGATTAGGGCTAAAGACTTACAAGTATCTCTGTCTGTCACATTTTCTGCATATGGTGTCTCCCACAAACTGAAAAGAGGAAAAAAAAGGTAAAACTAAGAAATTTCAAAAGGGGTGCATGTGGAAAGAAGTAATGATGGGCAGCAGGCGAAACTGCAGGAACTGGAGTTTAGAAAATGAGATCAACATAAGTTTTATTTTGTTCACTTCCCTCTCATTCACGATTTCTTTCTTTCCCATTTTTCAGTTTGTATTTTTTCTTTTTTTATATGCCATCGTTAGTCACTTGAGTCATTTCATTCCGATATGAAAGAAGCTACGCAACTTTCCCAGAGCGGGTACGAGGAAAGGCGACTTACTGGTCAATTTAGAAGGAAAGCGATAAAATAAAAACATGTTATATTGTCACCTCATCGAGGCGGCATGAGCACCAAGGTCCAGGAACTGCCTCTTGCCATTCTTTCCATCCACTAGATCTTCTTATTTCCTTTCTCTCTCTTCCTATCATTTCTCTATTTCTTCTCATTCTAATCTCTGTTTTCCCTCTTTCCTGGTCCCTTTGAAGTTGTTCCCGCTCCAGCTCACGCTCTTCTCTTTCTCGCATTCCCCTGTTCATTTGGACCGTTGCTCTTGCTACCCCTTGCACCAATGCAAGACGACTGTTATTCGTGGACTCTAAAGACTCAACATTCCAAGGTCCTATGTTTAGCGGAGACAATGCAAACAAATTTGAAGCTTGAGAGTTTGTTAGGAAAACTTCGGCCGAAGGGGAACCAGCTGCAGACGAGTCGGTAGCAATGTTGTTTGACCCGGCAATCTGAAGAAATGAAACGAAATAAGATCATTTTCAAAGATTTTATTATATGGCTAGCTCCTCGAACGGGCGATGTAGACTCATTTTACTCGCTTGGAATGCTTGTTTTGATGCATCATAAATCTATGAGCTGTTTTTGTTTTAAATTAATAAAAAATGGCAAAATATCGCAAAACACTTATATGGGGCAGCCGCGACAACGAAAACAACAACGATTTTCGCTAGTTTATTTTGCAATTTCCTAAAGTATCTTTTTGTCATGCTGAGAATAAGTAGTTTGATCAAATTTTCTGGATCATTCAGTCTCATAGTTGTTTTTTCCAGTTTTTATGTCGTAGTCAATAAAAGTTGCGATCTCAGCTTCAATTTTGGTGATTGAAAATGACTTTTACAACGCCCTTCCTGCCCTAGCAGATCCTCAACGTAGTCCCAGAAAAGCAATATCAGTGTCCCTCTCTTCATCTTAAAGTTATGCTGTATTCAGTTTTTCTTACCTCTGCCCCCATCCCTGTGTCTTGGTCATGGCGTGAGCCATTTTGATTTCGAGAAAGCAGTTCCAAGCGTAAGGTAGGATCTCTAGTGTGTCTGGCCACGAAGGAGTCTATCAAACCATTAGCTTCGTTTTCCATGATACAAGTAATTGTAACTCAGGGAAGCCAATGCTGTACAAACAGAAAGCAGAATAGTTGAAGAAAAATCGGCTTCATAAGTATCTATTCAGATGCCTCTTTGTTTTAAATCAGAGGTTCAATTATTCCTATTACGCACAACACATTACATTATAACTGCAAGATATCTTAACATGTAAGGGTTAAATGCTTGTCTGTTGCAGCTACTGCCGTTATTCACAATTTTCGAAAATCTAGATAAGCAGGCAATGGACAGAAATGGATATATCGTCTGTTTCTAAGCTCTATTGAAGCTATAACATTTATTCAAATACCCGTGGGTTGCCCGGGGGAGGGGGATGTTGAAGCTTCGAATTGATCAATGCATTATTCCTCTGTCTCGCTTTCGCTCCTTTACATGCACTACCTTTTTGAAAACATCTGTGTCAGGGGTAGGTATTTGTTACTTATGTGCGTTGCGAAACACGACACTCATTGAGACTTAAACTCATAAAGGCACTGACCTATTAAAGAAGAACACAGTTCGAACTTGTTACTATTTTCAAGCTGAAAAAAAAACCACGTACATGGTGCCCACGCCACTTCCTTACCCCTATCTCACTGCCACCGAAAAGTAAATGAAAAATGGTTTCTTAGTTCTTGGGTCTTGGGTTTTAGCTTTCGGGGGTCTTCGTTTTCGCTACAACCGACATTTCAGTGATGAGAGAGGGTTTAATTCGAATTGATTCTTTCGTTTTTCATATAGATTAGATGTAAAGCTAGTTTAGAGCCATCGAAAAAGTTTTAAAAAATATCCTTCACGAACAGTCTCTTAAAGCAAAATAGATCTGAGAGTAAACTCAATTAGCGATTGCGTTCGCATTCCAACAAGGTAATTAAGAAAATGGTAAATTTCATATTCAAGAGATTTTAGGAAATCTTTACGACAGGACTCGAGTTTAAGTTATAAGAACACCTTCGATACGGCATGTTGGCGAGCAAAAAACAACTGGAACTCCCAACCACACTTCGTGATTAGGACCCTAAAGTCAGCCTCATGCCAAATTTCAGCCAAATCGGTGAGGTTAAGTGGCCGCGATTTTTTGAAACAGTTCGAAAGTTACAGACTATTGCTCTTAACACCGGTTCACGCAACGTGTGACGCTTTCATGGTTTGCTTTTCCTGAAGGCGTAAGCTTGGGCCGACTGTGGTTAAATTAACTAATTTTGGTTTCACTTTTTATAACCCGCGAAACAGGTTATAGGACAAGAGAAAAATTAGCATAATCACGCCACGCATTACATCAAGCTGGGTTTGTCCAGTTGACTTTGATGATCGCAGGGAAACGTTGAGTTTGTCGCTCAAAGCCGTTGTGGTCCATAACAGCCTTAAATCTTTATGGAAACAAATTTGAAGAAAAGAGGCCCAGTTTATTGCGTTCCGTTTGCTAAATCTCGGGAGAAACTGCAAGAATTCTTTCAAAGTGAATGCGTGTTGTTTTGTAAATAACATTGTAACGTACTTAACTTGTTTGTGTGTCCTTATAGCCCGATGAACACCTGCATTTTAAGAATTCTTTCGTACAAATTGGTAAGTTTTTCGAAATGCAAATTAAGGTCGAAAAAAAGGGTCTCCTGGTAACGCTGGTATGAAAAAATTTTAAAAGTTCATTACCTCGTTCGTCCTTTTTCTCAGAATGCATCAGCAGCTTCCGGCCCAGTGTAGTTACATCTCACCAGTTAAGAAAGATCGCATGTACAAAGTTTGTTGGCAAGTCTACAGCAGTTTAAATAGTTATGAATAATATTTTACGACAAAAGGGAATTATGGTTTCTCAACCGAACGTATTCGGAGGATTTTCTGAGAAATCCATCTATCTGTTGAGGCTATGAGAACAAGCACTAAAGCTTTACTGAAAACACTCGTAGAATGGTCACTCGTTTTCACTGCCCTGTCAAAGTGCACATAACAATCGGAAGTAAGTTTATGCCTCTCTTATTAAAGCTATTTCTAGCTACTGTTTTACATACGCAATGAATTTTCTAATTATGACGCGAAGAGGTTCTAGACTCCGCGCCGGCGGACGAACGAGGTAATAAACTTATAAAACGTTGTAACAGACGCTTACTATAGTGTTAATTAATTTTTTTTACTTGTAATTCTGCATATGTTTCCGTGAAATATGTTAAGAGAAAATTCCCTTAAGTTTTTCACAAGCGAATGATAATCTTCAGTTTTATGTCCGCCTGTGGACCTTATTCCAAAATGTTGGTGATGACAGAAAATTTGTCTAAATAACAATTTTGTCGCTAGCGCGGAAAGGCCCCATAGTTTTGCTATTTTCTGACTCATGTTGAAGCATACCGCTAACGCTTGTGAAGCAAGACGAAGAGCGTAAAAATGTTTTCGTCGTTGTTCTCCAAACGTTCAACTTAGCTTGGAATTGTTCTTGAATGATACACGCTTTTCTGAGGTTCGAAGTTAGCAAGACTAACTTTATCTGAACCATTATTCAGTAAATTTATTGATTGTTTTTAAATACGTCCACTATAAAATACTGGCGTAGCATTTTTCTCTCCGCAAAAGGCGACACTGATATATGTAAAATACTTCCTACCGACAACTGACCGTGACTGTTTAATATCTTGTTGGCAATAAACTACTTACCTTTGTTCAGTTTGAGAACTAGCCTCAGATGTATCGAGGGAGTATTCGAGGCGCCGTCTACAAAATTGTACAAACGCTATCAATACTTTTCTTATTCATTCTTATTAATCAACTGCGTCAACTACTTTCTCTACAATCCAGAAGCTGTCTTCAGTAAACCGCCCGGAGCTAAGTATTGAAACAACACCAAGGTCATAAGGCCTTTCCGCACCAACGGATCGATATGGACAAAAACATCAAAGGACAGTTTTTTTGTCAAAGATTTTTGTCTCGCGTGTTGCATCCACGTTAAAAATTTCAAAGCCGTCAAATTCCGTCAGCGAGTGGCTGTTCATAAGACCAGCTAGCGTAGTTACCAAAGAATTCTACCTCAAATTTCCAGGATTTATTTTTAGTAAGTCGTTTTAAAAAGCCATCCACACTTGTAAAATGTTGGTGTTGACAGAAAGTTTGTCTAAATAAACAGAGGCTAGTTCCCAAACTGAACAAAGGTAAGTAGTTTATTGCCAACAAGATATCAAACAGTCACAGTCAGTTGCTGGTAGGAGATATTTTACAAACAACGGTGTCGCCTTTTGCGGAGAGAAAAAGTATGGGCGGCCGTCACCACCAAAAATACAAGGATGTCAAATAGATCAGCAAATACAAAGCTGGTCTAAAGATCAGCTGCACGATAGCATAGCTAATAAAGGAATGGCATGACCAAATTATAAAAGGTTTAGTTTTCCTTCATGAAACAGAACACCCTACACATGAATAGTTTAGCCAAATGATAAACGGTCTAGTTGCCAATGTCGAGTTGGAACATGAAATTGTGAAATGGACTAGCTCAATTACGAATAGCTTAGCACTCATTTGCAATACAGTTCACTGTAGCGTTGCGTCAAATGGCTCAGGGTAATGTCGAGTAGCACAGCGTACGCACAAACGGTGTAGCGTTGCGTCAAATGGCTCAGCGTAATTTAGAATGGTACAGCGTACACACAAATGGTGTAGCGTTGCGTGAAATGGCTCAGCGTAATGTCGAATGGTACGGCGTACACACAAACGGTGCAGCGTCGCGTGAAATGGCTCAACGTTATATCGAATGGTACAGCGTACATACAAACCGTGTAGCGTTACGTGAAATGGCTTGGCGAATGGTACAGCTTACATACGTCTTTGCAGAACATCAGAGGTTCTAGCTGAACATTAAATTGCTTAGCATAACATGAAATATTTCGATGTTATGATTTTGTGGCGAATCGTCAAGCTTGCTTATGGCGACACGTGAAGACAATCTCGCCGAAACCAAATTCAAATTTTTATTGCGTGTGCGTGCTTCATATTGTTTTTGTGCACGCTCATGACGTCATCAAACAAATCTCTCCAGAAAAAAACATTTTCCATCGGGTTGAAAATGTTATAAGACAATTGATTCATACGTCAGCTGTGCGTTCATCGAGACATGAAGCACTCGGCAAGTTTGGAGAGCACTCAAGTAGCTGGAGTTGCTCTCAGCTATGCCTCGAGCAACTCTTACGCATCTTTCGTGCTCTCCAAACTTCCCGCGTGCTTCATATCTCGATAAACGCACGCGAACGTATGAACCAATTGTTAATTATGATGTGCATTAAATGTCGATCGTCGAGTTCTCCATGGTAAGAGAACTGATGTACTTGATCTGTTTTGACATTCTTCAATAAAAGTGATATCGGAATGCTTTAATTGGTGTGCTAGACGATAAAACCAACTCGGAAAAAAGGTTGCTTCGGCAAACACTACATGTTTGATTGAAAAATGTCAAAACAGATCAAGGATATCAGTTTTACTTACCACAGCGTCCGAAGCACACACAAAATCCAACTTCTCAAGTACTCCTGCAATGTTCAAAGAGCCTTTGCAGTTAAACTCTCCTTGAAAAGTAAGCGCGAGTCAGAAAAGAAAAGAGAGCTCGGCAATTGACATTTAATGCACGTCTTAATACTACTTAATACTATAAACATTCAGGCTCACCAACGCGTGCAAACTGTGGGAGGCGGGCAAACCGTGGTAGGATCCAGTCTCGTTGCTATTTTAATTAACGCTTTCATGAACGACAACGAATAAATGCAATATCGGCGGGAAAAAAAGGAGAAACTCACCGAATTGGCTCTGCTTTACGGCAAGGCGAAGTAAGACTCTTATACCATGTGATGGATTCGTCTTCGCATTCGATGACGTCATGCCCCCCAGCAGATCGCTGTTCCATTTGCGGTTTGCATTTTTGGTGGCGTAACGAGAAGGCTATCTGGCCGAAACCAACAAGCAAGCTCGACGATTCGCCACGACATCGAAATATTTCGTGTAATGCTAAGGAATTTAATGTTCAGAT